GAGCTGCCGATAGCCTCGAGATGGATGTTCAGCAAATATTTGTGAAAGGTCAAAAGTTTCGAGCGTTTGTTCTTTCTTTCCTCACACCGATCAGCGCAGCAAAAGCAGCTTGAAATTCGTATTTGACATCTGGTTCTCTTCTCTTCGCAGGAAACCAGCAATTGATGTAACTTGAATCAATTTCGGTACGGTCTAGTAGAAATTGGATTCATCGGATAGTTGACCTTAAACATAGCATCTTTTGGCTCCGTACCTGAGACCGCCAATAAGGACCACCATATGAGAAACTTTGAAGTTGCGTTGAAACCCATTTAACATTTATTTTTGGACTGGCAAAGAAAATCATTTTACTCCTTGTAGATCCATGGCGTCAATTGATCAGATATTCGAGGTTCCAATTAGTTGCTGGTGCATTAATCTAAGGCAGAGCTGCTCAACAATCTGCTATGAGGTTTATAGTCAGCACAGATTTCAATAAAATTATCCACTGATTTACCTCAATGGGTTAAACTAGCGGGATTTGTAGAGGTGTCTTCTCCTTTTGCTTGTAAGAAAAGAACAAACCATTAATGAAAGCCTTTTCTGTCTTATAACCACACAGGTTATCAAAACTCTAGCTGACATTTAAAGCTGCAAGCTTAAACAAGTCTTTTCAACACAATAATGCCATTGAACGAGAGAAACAGAGCAAAGATCATGATCTGGTAAAAGTGGAATCGCATTATTCCAGCAACTAAACGGATATTTGCGGTAATATACAAAGTAGATTTAGTTGGGAGTATTTTAAGGTTCCAAAATATGCGTAAAACATGCACTATGATGTGGTATACTAGTTGATGATCCAAGTTATTTGGAGGGATCACAAATTGTAGTACCAACGGTATCACAACGAAAATTGTAACAACACGGAGTTGAGATGACAAAAAAACAAGTTAAACTTTAGATCTTAAGGCTTTGAGCCACTTTCATCGTCTGTATTGGATCTAAAACGTTGAATTCCTGTGACTTTGTATGGACCGTCTTAGAGATACGTTGATGAGCGCAATTGGTGGACCTTTTAGCCTTGGCAGGGAACATAAGGACCGCCTGAGGTAACCGATACGCCGGCTGGGATGACGCAGATGGGCACTGTGAAGATGGCAATATCCGTGACCTCAAGCATTCGTCAACGAAGGTAGGAGAGCTCGATAACCCTTCACGCCTTGTGACTTGGTGGTATCGAATTTTCTAAATTAGAATTTCACGACGTCTCAAGTTAAAATCTGATGCACCGAAAGAAGGGTACGCAAAGTTTGCCGAAAAAGTCGGTATGTAATCATAGCTTGAACAGAAATGGTTCTTTTAAGGACTCATGGGTCGGAGTCACTTCGACTTCTTTTATTGAATCAGTAGTACATGGACGTAAAGTTCCGCACAGTTATGGTCCAATGGTTGAATCTCAATAGGGTAAAAGAGCTGATTAAAGTCAGCGGCAATGTGCCTTGATCATTAGTGCACAACCTGATGGAGGAACGATTACATCCAGAGTTCTGGATAACACTGCCATGAGGACAATTGCAATACACAAGTGTTTAAGACGCCTTGTAAGTGAGAAGTGCGAATTGAACTCTAATTTCGTTCTCGAGGAACTAACCGGTCCTGCCTTCCGATCGGGAAAGGCACCACTTCCTCCTTCTCCTATACCACATTTTTTCGTGTATCCTAATGCCCAATAAGGCTGTTACAAGCAAAAGGTCCCCTGAGGAACCGGCCAAGGGGAGGGAAATGCGCGGTATAAGTATAGAATTTGCAATGGTATTGAGAGTGGCTCCAAACGCATGCTGTGTTTGTAAAAGAGAGCCCAGTTAAACGCGTCAAAATCACTAACGCCAAACTGGGTTTTAAGTAAAGCTACAATGATTTGGGAGTCATGTTAGAGGACGTCTAATTGACAATGTGTTTAAGTTTGAGTTTGAGGTAGTTTAGTATCTGCACTTACGTTGAGTACATGGCATATAAAGTTTGCAAGCTTTCTAACTTCACTCAGCTTCAAACCAAAGATGAAGTAAATAAAAGTAATTTGCGAAGTATGTGCAACGTTCGAAGTTCTGGAGGATGCACCGTTACTGCTGAAACTGAACTACTTACGGCTGTTTTAGAGAATCGTCTCATGAGCAGGTATTTACGTCACGATGAAAAAATGACAGGTAGGCGTCAAAAGATGGGTCCTAAGTATCGAAAAAAATATTTGTTCTTAGCCCCAAATTATTCAGGTGTAAAGATGTAATGGCAGCCCACTTTAGAATGCTCTTCAGCAGCTTCAAAGAAGGTTAGTATAAGGATGCTTGCAGGCATACCTTGACAATTTAACCATTCAATATAAGGTAAAAGACATTGGCACCAAAAAATGGATAACTTCTAGTTACGCATTACCCAACCCACTAACCACAAACACTCCATGAATCCACTACTTCAATGTCCAATCACTTACCTCTGTTTTTTCCTTCCATTTTTTGCTGGCACTCCAGGCACAATAAATTCGTTGAGCTCGTATTCCTCTGCGTTTACTGCAGGCGATTTCAACGAGAAGCAGCACGAGGCCCGCAACAATACCCACTGCAACCATGATAAAGACACCCGCCATATTGGTTAATTCCAGGGTAGCCGGACTTGATTCTGTCTTGGCGCATTTTTCACCCTCACCGGAGTTGAATATCCAATGTGTGTCCAGCTGTTCCATAAAACCACCTAACGACCAGTCAAGAGCAGCTGTCAGAAAGGGCTACTAGACGGTGCTTAATTATGGCATAAAAATTTCGAAGAGAAAAGGCGCTAATTTTTAACTTAGTAACTGTTAAGTCTCCACTTCTTCCTCTACACCAACCTTTTCAAAGATAAAGTAGTACTCTACATTGGTACACTTTTCTGTTGAATGGTGTGCGGTCGCTTCACTAAAACTTTTTGTAGGATATATG